CCCTGATTAGTTCCCTAAGGTCTTGCATTTGGGCCTGATCCCTGGGGTCATTGTTATCCCATCTGAGATTCGCATTTGGGAATTTCTGCTCACCCGGCAGGACTCCTGGCCCGGGATGATGCTGTCTCACCCAAATGGTCATGGCTGCCCTTCTCATTATTGCCCTCTCTTCTTCAGTAAACAGGATATTTGTGATAAACATTATCTTAGCCCAAGTATAAAAATTGGGTCCTAAAAATTGATTTAGCTGTTCTTCTAATCCAAGGGAATCTTCTAAAAGTGGCCTCATTTCCTTTTTAAAATTCCTAACCTCAGTACTTGTTAAAGGCACGCTCGTAAATCCAACTTCTCCCAGTCCCATAGGGCCTTCTTTAAGAGGAAACATGTTGGACATCTCCTATTTAGAGCGAATAGGGAAATTCTTAACGTTCTTCTTACATTGCTGTAATTCTTTGCTTAAGTTCAGATAAGGATTTAAGGGAGCAGTGGGTTTAGTTTCCTCATGGCCCCCAGATTTCTCTTCCTCCAGCCTTCCTGTTGTCCCCTGATCTCACTGTTCCTTATTTTGTGAGATGTATGGTGGGCGCGAGGGGAGGGTGCCCAAGTGTGTTAGGGCATCCCAGGGCTTTTTATCGGGTGAGGGCTCTTTACTATGCTCTTTTTCTTTTTCTTTGAGGGGAGCATGGGGGCTAATTCCCTGACCCAACAGATAGCATAACCTGTCTTTTCTTGTGAGGATAAGGTTTTATTATTCACATGTAGAATTAAACCTTGGCACACCCAATCCTCATCTGAGCCAAACTTAGGCCAAAAGACCAAAGGCTTACGAATGGGATCTTTGGGCTCAATAAGACAGCGATACTTTATCATCTTTTGCTTTTCCTTGTCCCTGGTTTGAGGGTTATACCTGCAAACCTGCAGCATTCTCCCCAATGGACTATCTGTGGGAATGTCAAAGGGAACCTCCTTAGTTCTCTGTTTCCTTTGTTCCCTAGGCCTAGAATTCCTGTTTCCTATTTTCAGTTAGTCTCTGTGTCTTTTCCCTCGCTATGCAGCCCCTGCTACAAGAGCTTTCTTGCACACCCTGAGAATTGCTTCGTCTGTCTCTGGCTGTTTCCCTTTGCGAGAGAACAGAACCACAGATTGGGACTCCACACTTGCTTTTTATTTAAGATACGTCTCAGTCACACACACTTGACCTCCAAAAATGCCCCACCACCAAGGCAATACTTACAGTCCGATTTTCCGACCTTGGCTAGTGCAAAAGATTGCCTGGTTTCTGAGATGCCTGCTTTTTTCCCCGTGTCATCTCCACTGCCTCCTGGATAACAGTCTTGGGTTTGTCTGTGACTTCTGTGGGGAGCTGCTATCCCCAGACAGAGTGGGCCACCTAAAGTGGGTGGGACGTGTCTCCCCTCTAGGCTGGAGTCCCACTCCATGCAAGCACAGGTGTCCCAGATGAGCCCCCAGGTTGTGAGAAACAAACTCAACCCTTCAAACCTAAAGAATGGACTTAGAGACACAGGGAGCAGCAGAAGTGAGACTTTTAATGACAGTCTTGCAAGATCGAGGGTCTGGTGGACAGGCACACTCAGCACGGTTACCACAAGCAATTTATCCCCTAGTGTGCAGGTCCTTCCCCTGATTCCTCATAAGATGAGTACTATGGGGTCACAGTCTTCCCAGATGTTGCCTATTGGTCATTGGGTAGGGGCTTTTAGGTATATTTTTTAGGGTCACCTCACTACATTCTGTTGCAGCCCACAATGCATTGCAGTTATAGTTAGCTCAGGGGCTTTTAAAATATTTGACCTATGACCTAAGTAGGCAAGCTGGTAAGAATAGATAAAGCGAGCTATTTTGGAGGCTAATAAACTTTTATTCTAGACTAAACTTCTTTGGTTCAGGTGAGGGCAACTAAAGGGCCACAGCAAGCAGGCGCTGGCTATCAAAGCAGAGGCCTTATGTAGTGTGTTCTTCAGTAGTTTGCAGATCCAAGCCTATTCAAGGCACTTTGTCTTGGAAATGGACCACCACATACATTATTTCCTTCAATACCTATTAGGACAGCTAAATTAAAATACAGTGATAACACCAAATACTGGTCAGGAGGCAGAGAAGCTGGACCTCTCATGCATTGCTGGTGGGAATGTAAAATCGCACAGACACTTCGGAAAATTATTTGGCCATGTCTTATCAAATGAAGCACACAAATACCATACAACCCAGCAGTCACACTCTTAGGCATTTATCTCATAGAAATAAAAATTTATATTCACACCAAAATCGGTACACAGATATTCAGAGTGCTTTTATTCATAATTGTAACAACCTAGAAATAACCCCAAAATGTTCAACTTTGGTATATCCATACAACGAAATACTACTCACCAGTGAAAAAGTAACAATCTATGATACCAACAATCTGGGTAGATCTCAAAGGCAATTGTGTTCAGTAAAAAAATCACAGGGGCATTACTCTCAGTGGAAAAAGCCCACCTTAAGAGGTTATATACTGTGTGATTTCTACAACATTCTCAAAATGAAAAACCAACAGAGATGGAAAACAGATTGTAGTTTCCAGGAGCCGGGGACTGGGAGTTGGGGTGCAAATATAAAGGGGTATCATAGCCTGGGAAACATGGTGAAACTCCATCTCTACAAAAAAAAAAGAAAAGAAAAGAAACAGTATTCTCCTAGCAGAAGAAACAAAACAACTAGTTATGTGATTTATTGATAGATGAGATACACATTAGTCTCCAATATCCCAGTGCCATTGTATTAGAGTTCTCTAGAGGGACAGAATGAATAGGATAGATGCTCATATAAAAGGGAGTTTATTAAGGAGTACTGACTCACACCATCGCAAGGTGAGGTCCCACAATAGGCCATCTGCAAGCTGAGGAGCAGGGAAGCCAGTCCAAGTCCCAAAGCTGAAGAATTTGGAGTCCGATATTCGAGGGCAGGAAGCATCCAGCACGGGGGAAAGACGGAGGCCAGAAGACTAAACCCGTCTACTCTTTCCATGTTTTCCTGCCTGCTTTTATTCTGGCCACACGGCTTCTGATTAGACGGTGCCCACCCAGATCAAGGGTAGGTCTGCCTCTCCCGGTTCACTGATTCAAATGTTAATCTCCTTCGGTAACACCCTCACAGACACACCCAGGATCAATATTTTCCATCCTTCAATCCAATCAAGTTGACACTTAACTATCACAGCCACCCAATAAAAATAAAATTTGAGATATATATGTTATTTAAACCTTTTCCCTAACCACACACCAAGAAAAGAGAAACAGGTGAAATTAATTTGAATAATATATTTTCCTTAACCCAGTGTATCCTAAGTATTATCAATTTATTATATCAACATATTTACACTTTTTTTTTTTTGAGACGGAGTCTCGCTCTGTCGCCCAGGCTGGAGTGCAGTGGCCGGATCTCAGCTCACTACAAGCTCCGCCTCCCGGGTTCACGCCATTCTCCTGCCTCAGCCTCCCGAGTAGCTGGGACTACAGGCGCCCGCCACCTCGCCCGGCTAGTTTTTTGTATTTTTTTAGTAGAGACGGGGTTTCACCGTGTTATTAGCCAGGATGGTCTCGATCTCCTGACCTCGTGATCTACCCGACTCAGCCTCCCAAAGTGCTGGGATTACAGGCTTGAGCTACCGCGCCCGGCCCTATATTTACACATATTAACATACATTCAACATTTAAAATCATTAATGAGCTGTTTCATATTCCTTCACTTTTACTAAGCCTGGGAAGTTCAGTGTGTGTTTTACAGCACATCTCAATGGGGCACTAAAGTTTCACTGAGAGCAGTGGAACCTTACTTAGATTTTAGACCATTACATTTGAAAGAGTTCCACGCACAGATCTAAGTTGTTCCAAACCTACTTAAGAATTTTCGCCGGGCGCAGTGGCTCAAGCCTGTAATCCAGCACTTGGGCCGAGGCGCGATCAAGTCAGAGATCGAGACCACAGTGAAACCCCGTCTCTACTAAAAATACAAAAAATAGCGGCGCGGTGGCGGCGCTGTAGTCCCAGCTACTCAGGAGTGAGGCAGGAGAATGGCGGAACCCGGAGGCGAGCTTGCAGTGAGCCGAGATCGCGCCACTGCACTCCAGCCTGGGCAACAGCGTGAGACTCCGTCTCAAAAAAAAAAAAAAAAAAAAAAGAATTTTCCAATAACTGAATCAGGCTTCAGTTTTTAAGTTCACATTTAAATAAGTTAAAATTAAATAAAATTTAAAATTTAGTTCCTCAGTCTCACAGGCCACATTTCAAGCGCTCTAAAGCACCCTGTGGCCAGCAGTTGCTACAGACCACACAGCTTTCTACTGTCCCTTACAAGCAATTGAAAGAGATTTGCAAGTGTTACAGGAAAGGGGTCCCGAACTCCAAGAGAGGGTTCTTGGATCTCCTGCAGGAAAGAATTCAGGGCAAGTCCCTAAAGTGAAACCACGGGTTTTAAGAAAGTAGAGAAATAAAAGAACTGCTACTCCATAGACAGAGCAGCCCTGAGGGCTGCTGGTTGCCCATTTTTACAGCTATTTCTTGATTATATGCTAAACAAGGGGTGGATTATACATGCCTCCCCTTTTTAGACCATATAGGGTAACTTCCTGACGTTGTCATGGCATCTGTAAACAGTCACCGCACTGGTTGGAGTGTAGTAGTGAGGACCACCAGAGGTCACTCTCATCACTATCTTGGTTTTGGTGGGTTTTAGCTGGCTTCTTTACTGCAACCTGTTTTATCAGCAAGGTCATGACCTGTATCTTGTGCCAGCCTCCTATCTCATCCTGTGACTTGGAATGCTTTAACCACCTGGGAATGCAGCCCAATAGGTCTCAGCCTCATTTTACCCAGTCCCTATTCAAGATGGAGTTACCCTGGTTCACACGCCTCTGACACAAGGGCAGTTTTGACTGGGAAACAAGCAGCAAATGATTTGAATTTGTCACTCAATCCCTAAAGGCACAACTCCACTGTAAATTTAGTTTTACCTAAATTTATTCGTTAAAGCATTTAGTTAAATTCTGAGTATCCGCTGTGAAGGAGGCCTTGTCTCTCTGGGCCATCCATTCAAGGGGGCCAGGACAGTTAGTGAGAAATCAGATCATTCCAGAGGTATATGCTGGGAAGAAAGCAAAGCAGGCGCTGCAGAAGACGACTCGGGCTTGGGTTCAGGCCATACCGTTCCTCCGAGACGACATTTGAGGGGAGGCCTGAAAAACAAGGAATCAGCATTGTGAGTCTCAGGTGACAGCATTCCCAGCAGATGGAGCCCAGTCCAGGAACAGGAAGCCCGAGGCCTGCATAATCCCAGTGAGGGCAAGAGAGAGCAGTAGAAGGCTGGGCCAGAGGGGCTGCAGGTGCCCAACAGGGCACCAAGTCTCTATGCCGTTTGGATTTTGTTCCAAGTTCAATGAAAAGGCATAGGAAGGTTTTAAGCTGGCGCTATTATTAGATTCATATCGTAAAAAGATCCTCTGCCTGCTGGACAGGAAAAGCCGAGAGGCTACCGTGTCAGTTGAAGTGAGAGAGAATGGGTCAGGGAGATAGGAGGGGAGAAAGAAAGAGGCACGTGGACTTGAGATATATTTGGAGGTAGAACCCACTTGCAGGTGGTTTGCACGTGGCAGTTGGGAAGGTTTTGACCTGCAGGTGCTGGACTCAAAGCCCCTGGATAGGTGGTGGTGTTATTTACAGAGTTAAGAGAACACTATGTATGTGTGGGATGGGCAGCAGGTGTGGGGAGGGTGACTCAAGAATTTCATTTGGGGCATGAGTAGAGATGCCCCTCAGAGATCCAAATAGAGGTATTTACTAAGCCATGGGATTTGAGTCTGGAGCTCAGAGGTCAGGTCTAGACACATAAATTTAGAAATCACCAGCATGTAAGTAGTGTTTGGAGGTGTGGGATTAAATGACATTGCTTAGGAAGAAAATACAGAAAATGGAGGATTGAGGACCCAGTCCTGGGGTCTTTAAACATTTGGGGGTCCAGCAAGAGAGTTGATGTGTCATGGAAGCCAGGACAGAGTGTTTCAAAAAGGAGCTAATGGTCAACTTGTTGCGTGTTCCAGCAAGATAAAGCCAGATAAGAATAGAGAATTGACCATTTGGTTTGGTAGATTTGAAGGACTATGATGAACTTCCCTGGCTATCCCTGGGAGTGTTGGGGGCTGATGTCCAGTTGGAAAGGGTTGAGGAGGGCCTGGGAGACAATGGTTGCAGACAATTCTTTGAAAGGGCAGAGGAGAGATGGGCAGGAGCTAGAACAGAGTATGATGAGAGCGTGTGCTTATTTTAAGGTAGAGAACCACTGTAAGTGGTTGCAGCAGCTTTGCCTGGTGAGGGGACTAATCCATTCAGTAGGGCAGAGAAATTACTGATTTCTGAGCATCTTGCTTATTGGACATTTAAATCTCTTTCTGGTAAATTGCCTGTCAATATCCTTTGCCCCTGTTGTTCCTCTCTCTCTTCTTGATTTGTAGAAGTTCTTTTTATATGCTGAATAAGAATGCTCTACAGTCACGCCCTTCATATAACCTTTTGGTCAATGGCAGGCTGCATATACAATAGTGGTCCCATGAGCTGATAATACTATTAATATATTTTGACTGTACCTTTCCTATGTTTAGGTATGTTAAACATGCAAATACTGACCGTTACGTCACAATTGCCTGCAGTATTCTGTATGGGAACATGCTGTACATGTTTGTAGCCTAGGAGAAACAAGCTCCACCATCTAGCCTTGGTGTGTGACAGGGCTGTACCATCCAAGTTTGTGGGGACGCACTCCAAGATGCTGAAATGAGGAAATAGCCTAATGGTGCATTTCTTAGAACGTATCCCTGCTGTTAAGCAAGGCATGACTGTATGTGTTAAATGAATTGCAAACAATTTCCCTTGTTCTGTAGCTTGTCTTTTGCTTTGAAAGAAGTTATGTTATTAATTAGTAACAATTGAAAGACATTATTATATTATTACTTATAACATAGGCAAGTTTGGACATTTCTATGGCTGTGCTTTATGTGTCTTGTTGAGAAATCCTCCACCCCCCTAAGGTCATAAAGATGTTCTGCTATGTTTTCTTCTAAATCTTTTTCCATTTTACTTTCACATTGAAGTCTAATCCATGTGGAACAGATTTTTGAGTGTGTTTGAACTCTAATTGTTCCTCTGTCCTTGCCCACTACTCCTTGGAGTCAGGCTGGAGTGAAGCAGTGGGAAGGCACATCCAAGTAAACAGAAGCAACTCTGGGTTTGTGGCCCTGGTTATTCTCTGTGGAGTTCTCCACATCATTGCCAGCACACCGAACCTGCAGTAAGTGTGGATCAAAGTCACAGGCTGAGGGCTGCTGAACATTGGAGAATGAAGAGGAAACAGCCATCCTACAGGGATGAACTCCCCACGGCCAGAGGTCAGAATGCTGCAGCCTCGGCAGCCTGTGTAGAGGACAGTGCCAGGTGAAGCAGTACCCCGGGGGCACTGGGTCCAAGGAGCAGGGCACAGGAGCCCAACAGGCACTGGGGACGCTCTCAACAGCTGGCCTGCACTCAGTGGTGCCAGTTTCTGACAACAAAGCCCCTAGCAGCCATTACCACTGCAATTTAGCCTTCATGAAAATGCAAAACGAACAAAAAAAAATCTAATAGCAATACCTAGTATCAGAAAGAATCGGGAACTGGGATTTTGGTGAATTGCTGTTGGCAGTGTAAATTCATAAAGGCACTTGGGAGAACAATTAGTACCCAGCATCTTCCTGGTCTAGAGATCCTTCCACACCCAAAAGTTCACCTGACCCTCACAATGACCTTTACCTGGACAGGAAAATTCTTGTCTTCCTTTAATAAATGAGGAAACTAAGGCAGGGCAGGGAGGAAACCCTTCCTCCAGCAGAAGAACCCCCTGTGCAATGTTGTTTGCAATATTCTTTTCAACCCAGCCTTCAGAAACAGGGAAAAGAAAAAGGAGGCTGTCACCACGAGAAACTGAACTGTCCCAGTAGTCGCCCACGGGCTCTGCACCGGGGCCGGAGCTGTGCTGTTTTCTTGTTTCCATCCCTGCTTCCGGCCACTCCCTAAAACACTTGGTTAGCCAAGCTTATAGAGTCAGCGCTCAAGTTTGGAAGAGCCAAGAGGGAGGCGGAAGGTTTTAGGCGCTACAGGAAAAAGGGAGACAATCAAACGTTTTTCTGCTAGGCAGAGCCCACACTGTGACACCAGTGATTTGATCTCTGGCTCCCCACGCCCTGGTGCTTCTGCATGGCTGGGACTGTTCTGCAGTCACTGTCTTATGCTGTGAGGTGTAAGTGGTTTTAAGGTGACATCCACTTCCTCTTATAATGAGACGGGTGGATTATTTTATCCTAGGTCATGAAGATTCCTATCAGGGTAAATGCTTTTGTTTTTAGAATGGTCTTAAGGAATAAATACAATAATGGCAATTTCAGGAAGGGTGAGGAAGATGTAAATCCCTTGAGTCACACAAGGTACCAGGGCCTGGTCCAGCCGGGAGCGGGTCAGTGGGCCCTGCCTCGAGGCTGGGCGCTCGGCTGGTGGAGGAGAGCATGTGTGGGGGGTGGGAGGGCACCAGCACCGCTCCCAGGAAGATTGGCAGAAGCCATTTTAATAACAGCAGTGACTCACTAGGGACTTTCCTCTATGGTAGCCACATGAGGAAGTTAAGGAATCGGTTGAAAACATTTTCAAGGACTGTATGGTTACTAAATTAAAGGTCAAGATGTCAGCAAACCACCTGCGGGTCATCCTCCCCCAGCAGCTCCTCCAGCGGCTTGCTCTTTCTTTGGGGGGCAGGGACCAGCGGGTAGCCTGTTTCCTTTTCCTTCCTCCAACACCCTCGCCCACCTATCCCTCCCCACTCCACAGTCAGTCTCCCGCAGACAGGCCTGCCCTTGTTTCTGAGTGGAGCTGCGGACTTTTCCTTTTTTTTTTAAATGGGTAATCGCTTTTGCTAACTTAAAGTGATTTTGCTAATCACTTTTTTAACAAGACAAAAGCAAGACACAGGATGATTAGTAAGATTCTAGAATCTTCACATTCTTCATATTCAAGATCCCTGGTCCATGGTGCTTTCTCCCTTTCTGAAGGGAGCTATCAACTGATTTGAAGCTCAGTCTTCCATTTCAATTTCATGCCATTCAGGACATAGGCATTAAGGACTTAATATGGGCTGGGCACTGTCCTACTTCCCACGTTCGAGGGATACAGTAATGATGGAGAGAGAGAGAGAGACAGACAGAGATCCGTCTGTGACACTGCTCAGCAGAACACGGAGCATCAGCCAGAAGTATTTAATATTTTCAGAGCAGTCTCTTCTACCTGCTTAAGGGGCTCACCAAGAGCTCCCCTCCAGAGCAGACAGGGAGCAGCTGGAAAGACAACTGTTGGTTTCCACACTTAAAGCCCCCAGAAGCAAATCTCCGGTATGTTTCTAATCACAAGAGTATATGAATAGGGGGATGTAGTCTCAGGCACGCCTCTCTACTGTCAGGATTTTTTTAAAAATCAATCTCTTTCATGATTAGAAATAAGAGTAACATTTACTTGTCTGGTTTTTAAATTGTTTCATTTGGAGGTGACAGGAAATCCTGTGAGGGTAAATGCTTTTCTTTCTAGAACGTTCTTAAGGAATAAACACAATAATGGCAATTTCAGGAAGGGTGAGGAAGATATAAATCCCTTGAGTCACACCAGGTACCAGGGCCTGGTCCAGCCAGGAGCAGGTCAGTGGCTGGGCACCCGGCTGGAGGAGGAGAGTATGGCAGGGCCACCAGCACCCCTCCCAGGAAGATCGGCAGAAGCCATTTTAATAACTCGCTAGGGACTCACTAGGGACTTTCCTCTATGGTACCCACATGGGGAAATTAAGGAATCAGTTGAAAACATTTTCAAGGCTAGACACCTGGATCCTCCCGGGCCTGCCTGCAGGGGACGGAAGCTCCTGTCTTAACATGGGAAACAGCTTTGGAAAGGGAAGTGAACAGCACCGGAGAAGCCAGTGCACAGAGGCACCCAGAGGGTGGCTGGGGCCTCCACACCTCGGGCGAGAGAGATGGAACCCAGTAAGGACCAGCGTGTTATTTCCCGGAGCCGGACGGCTTCACAAGAGAAATGTGTTGTCCTGCAGCCCCGCCAGCTGGAAGGCCCAGATGGAGGTGTCAGCCGTGCTGGTTCCTGCTGGGGCTGTGAGAGAAGGATCTGCTCCAGGCCTCTCCATGGCTTCTCGTGATTTGCCCTTGGGGTTCCTTGGCTTGTAGAAGCACCACCCCCATCTCTGCCTCCATCTTCACATGGTTGTCTTCTCCCGTGTCTGTGTTCAAATGTCCCCCATCCCTTTTGTTTTGTTTTGTTTTGTTTTTTGAGATGGAGTTTTGTTCTTGTGGCCCAGGCTGGAGTGCAATGGCCTGATCTCGGCTCACCGCAACCTCCGCCTCCCGGGTTCAAGCGATTCTCCTGCCCCAGCCTTCCGAGTAGCTGGGATTACAGGCATGTGCCAGCACACCAAGCTAACTTTTTTTTTTGTAGAGACGGGTTTTTCTATGCTGGTCAGGCTGGTCTCAAACTCGTGACCTCAGGTGATCCACCCACCTCAGCCTCCAAAGTGCTGGGATTACAGGCATGACGAATGTCCCCTTTTTATAAGGACACCAGTCATATGGGATTGGGGGCCCACCCTACTTCAGTGTGACCTCACGTCAACTATTTATATCTGCAGTGACCATATTTCCAAACAAGGCCACATTCTTAGTTCTGGGGGTTAGAACTTCAACACATAAATTTGGGGGGGACACAATTCAACCCAGATCAGAGGGAGTGGACTCTGGGACAGGGCAGGGAGCAGTCTTCCAGGCAGAGGTAGCCCTAGTGTCAAGGACGTGCTCTGGACAGCCCTGGGCAGTGACATAACAAGAAGTCCAAAGACAGGCAGTCGGCCCTGGCTGTAAGGACATCACCCAGCCAAGGGTCTGATCTGGGACTTTGCTTGCTGGGAGCATTTTCCCAGGTGTGGTCTGAAAACCTCAAATGGCAGAAGCCAATTTGGAAGGTTCACAGAACAAACTCTATTTTGATATCTATTTGTTTAAATGAGTAGGGAGAAAATGTAACTAGCACCACAAAGTAATGTTTTATTAATGAGAGGATATGAATGAAGTAGCTAAGTTTTAAAAAGGTGAACCAGTTTTAAGAAAAAAATATCAATCCTATGTAGATATAAAAGTCCACATAGGGCCAGGAGCCGTAGCTCACACCTATAATCCCAGTGCTTTGGGCTTTGGGAGGCCAAGGCAGGAGGATCTCTTGAGCCCAGGAGGTCAAGGGTGCAGTGAGCCATGACTGTACCACTGTACTCCAGCCTGGGTGACAGAGTGAGATCTTGTCTCAAAAACAAAAACAAAAAAACAACAACCCACATGCAGATGGTATCTGAACAAGTTTTGGAAACTTCTTGCATCCATTTTTAAGCAGATTTGCCCTCTCAAAAGATGGATCTGCCAGCGTAGTGGATGTGGATAGGAATCGAGAAGGGGCCAAGGAGAAAACAGCAAGGCTTGGAGGCCCACGTTGAATCCTGAAGGTGTCATCACAGTGGGCTCCCTGACCTCCATCCTCACAGCCAAGCTGCAAGTCTGACCCCCCCCACTCCTCCACCCCAAGTCATCACTCCCTCCCTTAAATGGCACAACAAAACCCCTCATTGGTTCCCAAACGTTTTGAAATTAAAAAGCCACTCCTTAGCATGGCATGCTTAGTATGGAACATCAGCTGGGGCTTGCCTTCCTCTCCAACTCCACGTCCCTCAGGGCGCACTGCTCTGGTGTAATAACGACGCTCGAGATGCCCATCAAGGTCTGTCACACGTATGGACACTGTATCACTGTGCCATTCACACAACAGAGCCCTGCCCCATTTCTACAATTGCTCACACAATACAATCCTTTTTTGAAAAAAAAAAAAAAAAAAGAAATTCCAATCTAAAGGCAATCTTAGTATGTTTTGAGTTTTCCTGTTTTCTTTCACAGATTTGGATCGTATCTTCAAATGCCTAAGTTGGCTTGTGTATGGTTGCTTCATCAGATGAAAAAGATGTTATGACTCTACTCTTTTCTTCTCTTTGGAGCTTTTTAAAAATGAGAGTCCCAAAGGAAATCTGAGATTGGTAATGATTATGTTACAGGAAAGGGGTCCCAATTCAGACCCCAGGAGAGGGAGGGTTCTCGGATCTCACTCAAGAAAGAATTGAGAGTGAGGCCACAGAGTAAAGTGAAAGTAAGTTTATTAGGAAAGTAAAGGAATAAAACAATGACTCCTCCTTAGTGCAGCCCGAGTGCCTTGGTTGCCCATTTTTATGGTTATTTCTTGATTATATGCTAAACAAGGGGTGGATTATTCATGCCTCCCCTTTTTAGACCATACAGGGTAACTTCCTGATGTTGCCATGGCATTTGTAAACTGTCAAGGCGCTGGTGGGAGCGTAGCAGTGAGGATGATCAGAGGTCACTCTTGTGGCCATCTTGGTTTTGGTGGGTTTTAGCTGGCTTCTTTACTGCAACCTGTTTTATCAGCAACGTCTTCATGACCTGTATCTTGTGCTGACCTCTTACCTCATCCTGTGACTTAGAATGCCTCAACCCTCTGGGAACGCATCCCAGTAGGTCTCAGCCTCATTCTACCCAGCCCCATTTAAGATGGAGTTGTTCTAGTTTGAATGCATCTGACAATTATAAGAGTTGGGAAAACCTGGGTGACCAACCATTTAGACCACTGGCATTGGGAATAGTCAGTAGACACCATCCTATCCACAATCCTCCTGCCACAGTTACAAGATCTGTCCTGGGGATTCATCACCATGTATATATGTCAGTCTACTCCAGTAGAGCTACATAAATATGTATACAGTCGAAATAATCTTTAAAAAAAACCCAGTCATCTGAAGCCAGGAAAGACGTACACTAAGTATCCCATCACTACAACCTATTTTATCTTCCTAGCCTTTAAGACTCGGTGCAAAATAAATTCCAAAGTTAAAAAAAATCTAACAGTGGGTTGGAACCTAGGTCTGGATAGTATTCTAAGCTCTGCTGCAGGCATGCAGTTTGTCCCTGGGCAAACTGGCTGTGTTTCACCATTCCCAGAATGCAGCCTAGCCAGTAATCCCTCCCTTTCATTATATGGAGAACAAGATACACTCATGTCCCTTTGCAGAATGGGACGCCTCTTTCCTAAGAAAGATTGAAATCATTATCGGGGGATATATTTTAAAGAGATTAGATTAAAATAAACATGACATGTGAAAAGAAAAATGATTAAGTTCAGGCCGGGCGAGGTGGCTCACGCCTGTAATCCCAGCACTTTGGGAGGCCGAGGCGGGCGGATCACAAGGTCAGGAGATCGAGACCACGGTGAAACCCCGTCTCTACTAAAAATACAAAAAATTAGCCGGGCGCGGTTGTGGGCGCCTGTAGTCCCAGCTACTCGGGAGGCTGAGGCAGGAGAATGGCGTGAACCCGGGAGGCGGAGCTTGCAGTGAGCCGAGATCGCGCCACTGCACTCCAGCCTGGGCGACAGAGCGAGACTCCGTCTCAAAAAAAAAAAAAAAAAAAAAAGAAAAATGATTAAGTTCTAGAGTAAACAAAACCTGAAATGAGTTTATAGTCTATTCTCACCCTTTTGGTCCAAACAAAAAAGTATTGCTCGATTATTTTTTCCAGCCTCACTAATAGATTACAAACTCCTTGAGAGAAGATAGATTCTGTGTGTCATACTTTCCATTCATTAGCAATTGCTCACTGAACTGAAATATTTGCTACTTCCTCACTAGAGTGCTTCTCAATGTGTTTCATTCAGCATTGTACTCAACAAATGTTTGCTGTATGAAGAAATGTCTGTGTTGAGTAGTTACACCACTAGTTAACAATTTCCCTTTGTTAAATACTAGGTTTCTATTTTTTGTTTTACTAACCAATGCTGCAATATGCCTTCTCGTGCATCAGTGTTTCCCTATACATCTAATTGCCTTGTTAAAGTTCAATTTCTGTGACGTAGAATTTTGCAAAAAGGAAGGAAATTTACACAGCGGAAAACTATATATACAAATGAAACAAAATACATGATTTTAAAACACCGCATATTTAGAAGGAAAGGAAATATTCATAAACATTGCGGTTATTCCTCAATAATGAAATCACTGATGCTTTCACAATCAGAATAAAATTACATATGTAAAAAAGTCCATGATACTGTCATTCGAAACAGGGAATTTAGTATTCCCTTACAGTTACACAGTTCTCAACAAGCCTTTTATTTTTTGCTCTGTCTGGTCTTCTGGCTCATCTCTTAAAGCTGCAAAAGTATAGTGTAGCCCACTGCACTTCGTTCCGAGGAAGGCGTCCCTCAGACAAAACCGAGGACTCTGTCCTGCTCTGTAAGGAACTAGGACTTGTTGATTCTCAGATTTTAATGCGAAGCCCTGCTCTCCGTAGGCGCTCCATAAATTTTAACCGGACATCTTCACCGCGCTCTACCGGGCCTCGGGGAGACCCGTGGCTCCCATCTGCTTTGGGCGCGGGCCCGCCGAGCCTCAACCTGCGCCCCGGGCAGCCGGGACTCCCCGCCCAGACCGGCTCCCACGCTGGAGACATCACGGTCCGCACCCGGGGCGCAGCCGAGACCCACAGCGCGGGCGGCCACCTGCCCCGCTGAGACCAATGCCTGGCCGCTCTACGCTCCCGAGCCCCCACACAGCCAGCCCCGTGACCTCAGAGCCCCGGAAGCCGCCGTAAGCAGCGGCCCAGCCAGGCCCCGCCCCCTGTACCAGAGCTCCAAGCGTTGATTCTAAACAGGCCCCGCCCCCGGCCGCCCCAGGCGTGGACCCAAGCCAGGCCCCGCCCTCTGTCTGCCTACTCCAGGCCCCGCCGCTCCAGGCCCCGCCCCCTGCCCGGACGCTTCAGCCGTCCCCTGGCCCAACCCCCTGCCCCGCTGCTTCCAGGCCTCCTCTGGTCCAGGTCCCGCCCCCTACCCGGCTACTCCAGGCATCCTCTGGGCCAGACCCCGCCCCCTACCAGCCGCTTCGGACGTCCGCAGCTCCAGGCCCCGCCCTCCACCCGGCTGCTCCAGGCGTCCTCCGGCCCAAGAACCGCCTCCTGCCCGGCCGCTCCAGAGGTCCGCGGCTCCAGGCCCCGCCCCCTGCCCGGCTGCACAAGGCGTCCTCTGGCCAGGCCCCGCCCCCAACCCGGTCGCTCCAGGCCCCGCCCCGCCCCCTCTGTGCGCGCTCCGCTCGGCAGCCTGTGGGACGCGACCGCGGCGCCAGTCTCGTTCCTTTGTGCTTCGGCGGCGGCGGCTTCTCGAGTCCTCTCCGACGCGTCCTCTGGGCTAGACAGCCCCGCGCTCTCCAGTGACGGACCATGTCGGCGGCGGGAGCGGGCGCGGGCGTGGAGGCGGGCTTCTCCAGCGAGGAGCTGCTCTCGCTCCGCTTCCCGCTGCACCGCGCCTGCCGCGACGGGGACCTGGCCACGCTCTGCTCGCTGCTGCAGCAGACGCCGCACGCCCACCTGACCTCTGAGGACTCCTTCTATGGCTGGACGCCCGTACACTGGGCCGCGCACTTCGGCAAGGTGGGCGCGAACGCTTTAAGGCGCCATTTTCCGCGGCTGTCCAGTGGGGGTCGGTGAAAGCGGGTCTGAGGTGCGGAGGGCGCGGGGCGTGCCGGGATCGCGGGGCGGAAGCGGGGTCGGCGGCGCCTGTGCCTCGCGGGGCCTAAGGCGCCTGTGCGGCAGCGCTCGCCGTCAGGGGCCGCGGCGGGGCAGCCGGGGGGCGCGGGGCGTGCCGGGAGCGCTGGGCGGAAGCGGGGTCGGCGGCGCCTGCGCCCCGAGGGGCCTAGAGCGCATGTGCGGCGGCGCAGTGTAGCAAGTTTCTAACAAGGCGGGCTCCAGGAGTCCCGGCGCCTGTCGGCCGGCGCCTGTGCGCGCGCGATGGCGCGGGGCCCTCCAGGCCGGGCGGGTGGCGCGGGCGACTTCGCAGAGCCGGGTATTATGCCGCGTAGTCGCCGCGGCGGCTTACGGGGAGCCGAGGCGGGGTCGGAGGCGTCTTTCGCCCTCGCGGTGCCGGAAAGAGGCGCGCGGGGAATGCCCGGGCGCGGTCGACGTTCTGGTTCGGCACACCCTCGCCGGGAGCCAAGGGCCGCGCTGCGGACGAGCTCAGCCGAGGACCGAGCTCCCCGGCGGGATTGGAAAGCTCGGGCAGCTGTGTGGGATGGAGGCCGGCTCTCCAGCTTCTGGGTTTGCCTTAAAGCTCGTAACTGGCCCCGCTTCAGGGAAATTAGTGACGGCTGTGTTTATCTGGGATCTAAATTACTGCAGAAGTGGTTAAATTAAGCAGAATTCTCTTCCCGTGGAGCCTTTACGTTCCCCTCTTTTTTTAAACTGAAAATTGTGAGGGAACACAGTGCTGCTTTAAGGTTTTAAAACATAGCTACAGTTTCCTCCTCTGTGAAGTCGCTGGGGTACTTGCTCAGAGAAATCTTAAAATGAGATTTCACCGTCCTTTTCAGAAGTGGCTGGTTTTAATGATTTTTTTTAATGATTAATATTTTTAATTCACTAAAATTCAGGAATATTTATAGTGTTTTTCTCGTAAATGATGAGATGGGGTTAAATGGTTTTGCAGAAATATGTGGGAGATAATGTGAAATAAGTTATTTTAAGAAGGCCTGGCCCTGGTAATGTCGTTACCAGCTGACAAAGTTGCGCTTTACCTTGCTGCCCCTGGTGCTACATTCACAACGCAGTTGTATCTTTTGGGAAGCAGTTTCTGATTCTCCTTTTAAAGTGGAAAAGTCACTTTTCTTTCAACAAAAGAAATGAGAAGGAATTTTGACTATCGGGGTGGGACAAGCAAGTTAATCCACCCTCAAGGGCTGTTAGGTTCCTATGGCACTGTCTCCGAAGTTGTGCAACCGTAGTACCAGCTGGAGGAAACAGGTGCCCAGGGGAAATGAGTTTCTTAACAAACAAAAGTAAAAAAGCCGCCTCCCTGCGCTTCTGCCTGAGGCCTTAAATTTCCCGAGGTAGTCAGTAATCTGAGGATTTCCTCTCTCCAGAGTGTCTCTTGCTGTGGTTTATTTTTACACTAAACTTTAGGATTCCGTGCTTGCTATCCTGGTTGAGAATGACACATTACTGGGTGACAGTCAACAACGATCTGTAGAATGCTTAAAGCTTCATTACAGATGGTCACTTACAAAATTTAACCCAATGGCGCCGCCACTTGTCTCTGGGGATTAAAATAGCCATAACTGCTTTAAAATGGTAACTTTTAAGGTGTATTTTATCACAATTTTTATAAAAACACCAACTGAAATCACTTTTCAAAAGTCTGCTTCCATGGAACTTGGAGTAGTAGCTTTACCTTGGTCATCAAATGTTATAACAAGCAGTTACTTCATTGTTTCCAGCTGTCTGAATCATAGGGCTGTTTGGTCTTAGATACCGAAGGGGCCTTAGAAAGCCCCTGTCCGGGGTCCAAACATTCCCTTCTGAGAAGAAGCTGTTAGGACAGAAGTCAGGCCAGGACTCGGGGCTGCCGCTTGCGAAGTCTAGGCTTTCTCCCCAGCCCTGCAAACGGCTGTCCTCTTACACAGGTTTCAGGCTCCTGTGCTTAGAAATGTGCCAGTGCTGCACAAGATCCCTAACCGCTGCTAAGACTCGTTTGTTTCCAGAGGACTAAACGGGTTGTTTAAAATCTCTGTTGTACTTTTTATGATACCATATTGAACAGTATTTTTCCGGAATAACAAATTCAAGTTTCTAAACTAAACCCAAGGGTAACGGGTTTAAGCCCAGCGAGCCCTCAGTGGATGATTTTTGGTACGCCAAGTGATTTTCATCCGTTTTATTTTCATTGGATTTGAGACTTGTTCATCTTATCGCTAGTTAATACTTCTATTTTCACCCAGTAAATTAATAAAGGCAATAAATAAAAATAGACGGCCGGGCGCGGTGGCTCACGCCTGTAATCCCAGCACTTTGGGAGGCCGAGGCTGGTGGATCACGCGGTCAGGAGATGGAGACCATCCTGGCTAACACGGTGAAACTCCGACTCTACTAAAAATACAAAAAATTAGCCGGGCGAGGTGGCGGCGCCTGTAGTCCCGGCTACTCGGGAGGCTGAGGCAGGAGAATGGCGGGAACCCGGGAGGCGGAGCTTGCAGCGAGCCGAGATCGCGCCACTGCACTCCAGCCTGGGCCACAGAGCGAGACTCCGTCTCAAAAAAAAAAAAAAAAAAGAGAGAGAAAGACATCAGCCTGTACTCCCAGGTCCAAGTTGGTTGAAGAGAGTGTTTTGAGTCTGTGTACCCTTCATCTCACAGGAGTGTGTATTGAAAGCCTGACAGTGCTTAGAGAGATGGAAAAGGAAACCTTGAGGTGGGATGGGAGAGTGTCAGGTGATTTTGCTTCAGGTGAGGTCTCTCCTCTTCAAGAGACTTGCTTGCGGTCAGGCATAGCTTGTTCCCTAACTGCATTGTGATTGGAGTGAGGGAAAACGAGCCAGTGTAGGATCAGAGAAGGTGGGTTGAACAATTGCTTGGCACATGGTAGGCACTTGCTAAATTTGTTGAATGTGGTGAATTATTTTAGCCAGAGGCTATCATAGTATTGGTGCCTGGCCACAAAGTCTTAACTTGCCAGTGTTAGTCACCCACTAGGTGTGCTGCTCACTTACGCTGTAGGCTTTTTTTGGGGGGGGTTTAAAATACAAATCATTTGAAAAGAGTAAAAAAATGTGGAGAATGGGGTCTCAATTGAGTAATCAATGAGTATTCAGTGCTGGCTTGTGTAAAAGTGCACAGTTGTGCACACTATAGAAAATAGTGTTTGACTATGAGGAGTTTACTGTGGCTACACAAAGTTTGTGGGGTTTTTCGTTGTGTTTTGTTTTTTTGAGACAGGGTCTTGCCCTGTTGCCCAAGCTGGAGTGCAGCAGCGTGATCTCTGCTCACTGGAACCCCCACCTCCCAGGATCAAGCGATTCTCCTGCCTCAGCCTTCTGAGTAGCTGGGATTATAGGCATGCACTACGCGCCCAGCTAATTTTTTGTAATTTTGTATTTTTGAAACGCCAACATGGGGTTTCACAGTGTTGGCCAGGCAGATCTTGAACCCCTGACCTCAGGTGATCCATCCGCCTTGGCCTTCCAAAGTGCTGGGATTACAGGCTTGAGTCACTGCACCCGGCATTACACAAAGTGTTTGAGATGGAGACTTGCTCTGTCGCCCAGGTTGGAGTGCAGTGGCGTGATCTCAGCTCCCTGCAAACCTCCGCCTTCTGGGTTCAAGCAATTCTCCTGTCTCAGCCTCCCAAGTAGCTGGGATTACAGGTGCCCGCCACCACGCCCGGGTAATTTTTTTGTATTTTTAGTAGAGACGTGGTTTCACCATGTTGGCCAGGCTGGTTTCGAATTCCTGACCTCAAGTGATCCACCTGCCTTGGCCTCCCAAAGTGCTAGGATTACAGGCATGAGCCACCGCTCCCGGCCTACACAAAGTTTTTTAACCCACCAATCCCTTTAACATTTTTGTTTAGAATAGTCTGTGCAACATACATTTTTGTTGGAAGTCTTGGAACAGCGCAGTCTAATATTTTCTGATTTTGGCTTATTCAATTGTAGGGAAACCAAAATATTTAAATCTGTGTAGTATTATTAGTCTTTTTGCATTTTTCTATTTCTATCTTCCATTTTTTTCATAAGGACAAGGGAAAATGTTATTTTAAATGCTCTTTAAAATTTGCACGGCATTGGGAAAGAGTGACTTAATTTGATCTATTAAAAAACTGGTAACAATGCCATTTGTCACCATTATAGAATTTAGATTATTCCTGTAATATTGAACAGTGTACTGACATGTCTGCGTGTTTTCATTACCCCTCTTGTTTTCGAAGTTGGAGTGCTTAGTGCAGCTGGTGAGAGCTGGAGCCACACTCAATGTCTCTACCACGCGGTACGCGCAGACGCCAGCCCACATTGCGGCCTTTGGGGGACATCCTCAGTGCCTGGTCTGGCTGATTCAAGCAGGAGCCAACATTAACAAACCGGTAAGAGTGCTGGTGATGGACTTTTGCTTTTGCTTTTGGTTTTTGCAGTTATAATTATACATGGTATTGCTTTAAATGGAGGCCTTAATTAGTGATATCTTTACCTGAGGGCAAACTGGAGTTTATGTTTCTTCACTTGTTTGTGAAGGATAATAGACCCTTTCCATAGGAATGCTTTCTGTTCATACAGTGCTTTCACCTGTTATGTGATAAACTGATCCAGGGTGATGTGCCCAAGGTTATAGCTTGTAATTAAAGGAGCCTGGCCTTAAGCCCAGGTTTCCTGGCTTTCTACTCACAGCTGCCTTAGCCTCATTTCCACAGATAATTATAAAAACACTTTCATCCTAGAAAAAGCATGACTATTAAGTCAGCTCCAAAGTGAGCTTTAGATACAAGTTGATGCCTTGATGCAGATAAGTAGCTAAGTATCATTTACTAAGTGGGAAGAGTAAGTGACTTGAGGACTTGGTATTTAAGATTAAGCATACAAACAGGAACATAATCATGCCAAATTTTTTTCATGGTGTGTTTTCGGTATCAGTTCACCTAAACCATACACCCGAGCGTTCAGATTGTTGGGTACTTGGTTGTGTAAGACAAGCAGCATCTGATAGCCATCAGGTTGTCTGACTGGGAGCAGTTCCTGGAATCAGTGTCCTTTGCTGAAGATGGATTAGTCCTTAGACTAATTTATAATTTTCTTCTCTTAAGACTCTGGGAGCTGTTTTTTATGCCTCTTTTACTCCTATTTTTAAATGCTTTATAGTCATCACGGTCTTGTATGCAAAGTCGTCTTTGTATTTTTCTGTCTTTCCCAAAATTCAGTCCTTGATTATAACCAGGTATAAGGTTGTTGCTAGTCCCTCTCCTAAAAACTCAGTTGCCCATCTAAGCAGTAATTGAGAAAGAAGATGTGTTTAGCCATGATTTAAAACAAGGATCAATGGGAAAGTGGGGTAAGTGATAAGAAGGCAGTTTGTCGCCTTAAGAGATACGAAGTGTAAAAAACAATGTAAGGGAAAGTGGCCAAGAGTTTAGGCCTGTTTGTTACTAAACTGAAACTTGGGATGTGGGACAACTCTTAAGGTTATGCTGCCACTTCCCTCCTTCCATCTCTGCATGTATGCCTTTACATAATGTATATTTCTCTGCTGCTCTTTTGCTTGTATTCATAAATTCAAGAGTTATGAATTAACCTACTCTATACCCTTACGTGCTGGGCATCGCCTTGTTTTTTTCCTTCTTCCCTACCTCTGTCCCCTGGTAGAAAGGGCAGTGTGGGCTTGATTCCTGGGGCAAGTCATTAACTTGATCTGTGGCTCAATCTCCTTATCAGTAAAATACGGTGAATAATTCCATGAATGGCAGTAATTAGTATGGAATTTGTATAATTTTTGTATGTTAATTTTCATGAAATTGTTACATAGCATCTTATTTAGAAAGGACTAGAGTAATTGTCTAACACTGCTTTCCAGACCTTTTTAAATGGAGAAGCCCCCTTTTCAAAGTGTCTTACGGCAGTTCAGTATTTTCAGTAGATAAAGGGAGTAGGGCAGAAAGTGTGCCGCTGTGTCCCCCACCTTCCTCTCAGATGCCTCTAGATAACACAGATAACACCTTCTGGAAACCTGTACCACACTCTGCTTCTTCCCAGGCAGGATCCTAAAATCTTTTTCTTTGCAGCCCTCCCTGTCTACTCTGGGTAGACATTTCCAAGTCCTCACATGTGCCTAGGGCATATCATTTGGCATTGTTAAGCATCCTGGAATTTCTCCTTAGTGGGTCTTAGGTAGTTGTGGTCTGCTAGTATGTGGAGTTTACATCCGAATCTCAGGCATCATCTCACTTTATTATGTAGTGGGTGAATTTCGGCACCCAGTTACTCTTGAGGACACAATAGCCCTTTTGTTAGCTCCCCACCCTGCCTACCTGCTGACTCATCTCCAGGCAGATGGTTTCTCATTTCTCATGGAAACTCAGGAGGCCAGATCCAGGTCTTCTTTGTTGTTTGTATCCATTTAATTTTTTGAGCCTGTTGATGCAGTGTTTTAAGACAATTTCTAGTCTGTTAATCTTTTGGAGTGTTAGCTACTAACAGTTCTAAGTTCATTTTCCTCAAGGTTAATACCACAGACTTTTTTGGCAATCTGTAAGGTGAGCCTGTGAGATTACCAAAGCTCATATGCTGCCTGGAGGCCCATGTTCTCGGTTTCCCCAAGAGGAAATGAAGTCAGCTTTCCTGTGATTTTGTTTTTAGTGAATCTATATTGACTAGCCTTGGTGTGTAATTAGCAAACATTCTCTTTCATATGCCTCTTATAGAATTTTGCTGGCATTTGATGTTATCTTTAATTTTTCATGTCTAGATTAGAAATGAAATTTTTCTTTATGAAAACCCAGGGTGCCCAGCCTGTCTTGAGCATTCTGGCACTGCTCCCAGTTCCCTGTATCACTCAATTTGCCGTGGCTGTGATGTGACTGGGCTGAGCTGGAGGCCCGGGCACCTTCACCTGGCTCTTTGCTGGAAGTATCTTTTCTCTTGGCTACCTTCTCTCAAGGTGCCCGGGCTTTTCTTTAGTGTTTGCTCTGCCCTTAAAGATTGTCCCTGAAGAGCTTGGTAGTTTTGCTTTTTCTTTGTCATCTGTTAATATCCCACCATGACAGACCCTTACTTTTTTGTCTTGTTCCAAGGATAACTTTAAAGACCTTTTTTCTTTTTTAGCTTTTTTCTTTTTTGGCAAAACTGTATCTAAGTCTCAGCTCCAGTTTTCCTGGGAATGTTTTTATGTAATTTTTATTTGTCTTTATTTTGTACTGCTTCTCTCCCCTCCCCACCTCTCTTTTGGGGAGGTTAGAGTTAGGTTTTCGCTTTTTAAGAAATCCGTGTTGGCTGGATAGTTTATAGCTGCATGGTTTTCTGTGTTTCTGTCTTCAAAAATGGATTTTTCTGTTTAGAGCTTTACATTGCTCTATATTCTCTTTAGACCTTTGTTTAAATAAATGTGCACACTTTTCCCTCCACCAAGCACTCGAGCCTTTCATACTCTTATTTTTCTGTGAATTAATCTACCGCTGTTTTTTTAACTTTGGGTGGCCCTCACCTCATGTTTTTTCCTGTGAGTACGCGTTGGTGAAGGAGCTTAGCTATTTACTGAGTTTAGGAATGAACTGTTTTCTAAGTGACCCACAATTACTGCACTCCTTTTTATCTTGGTCTCTTAATTGTGTGGTAGTCTGCCCAGTTCAGCTTCCAGTGAGGTTTCTGTGTGAGTATTCAACAGGTGTTGCTGTGGAGCCCCCCAGGATTTCCCAGTCTTCATTTTCCACCAGAAATCACTTTCTTCTCTTGATTGCTGTGTCTGATTGCCTTTCCTCTCTCTTGCTTAGCTGATAGCCTGTGAAGATGGTCTTTCACATTGTTTCATTCATGCAACGTAGACCTGGGTTGGCTGCTGATGTTCCCAGTGGCTTTCCTGGGTCTGCTCGCCTTCCTCTGCTTCTGTGTGTGCTTCACCTCCCCTCCGCCCCAGGGGCGGAAGTGCATTTTCTGAAGCAGGAATTGAAGCTTGGTTTGCTTTGCCTTTGTGTTCTTTTCCCTTTCCTCTAATAAATACTGAAAATAGACTGGGAATATCTACTAACTATTCCCTCTAGTAAATATTGAAAATAGATCAATCATTGAACCTTAAGCCATCTTGTCTAAGTTGTGGTCCCACTTCAAGTTCAAAGCAGAAGATTTATGATCGACATTGATGATGTTGACTCGGGTTGGCCTTGGGGTAGGCATAGGGGAAAGTGGGTAGCTGAGACCATACGTCAGCTCTTACGTGCCATTTCTTGGCCTCGATGACTATTTTAATGTGTGTGTGGTTGGTTGGTTTGGTTACTTATTCTGGGTTTATATAAAATACACATGTGCTAAGATCTGCTAACATCCAGCATAAAGTGATTTATAAATCACTGTTGAGAGCATTCACGCTGTCACTACTGGAGAGGCCCCAAGATACTTGGTCATTGACCAAATTTTGCTTTTTGTTGTTTCAGGATTGTGAGGGTGAAACTCCCATTCACAAGGCAGCTCGCTCTGGGAGCCTAGAATGCATCAGTGCCCTTGTGGCGAATGGGGCTCACGTCGAGTAAGTGTTTTTCGTTTATTCTTTCCAGCTGAAGATGTAGTCGAGGATGTTTTGTTTAAAGGTAGTACCTAAGCAGCAAAAATCCTAGAACTTTGTTTTCAAAATTAGTAATGTAATTTTGCCTTTTAGAACAGTTGGTGTTAGTGAGGAAAATTGTGTGGATTAAATTGATCTCTAGAGGAGGGGGTTTGATTTCACAGCAGCCTCAATATTCTTGCCGAGAGAGTGTATTTGAACTGAAAGAACAGTTAACTATTTAGATTTGGAACTTGGCATCATTACTTTGCCACCATTACTTTGCCACTAACTAGTTGTGTCACTGTGGTCTTTAAACTTTTCTTTGCCAAGTTTTGATTTCAAAACAAGAAGCTTGGATTGGATTAAAATATCTTTTCAGGCCTCTCTGGCTCAAAAGTTTCTGAAGAAAATTCACTTTTCTTTGTTTTGATTTCCACATCTTAGCAGATGTGAGAAAGTTATGTTTTAAAGCCTATTATAACTTAATGGTTGATAGTTCCTTGTAAAATAGGATTATTTCATTAAAGACCTCAAGCTTGCTGTAAGCTTCTGGTACTGGTGGCATTATTTTAAAATATCTTTTGTTTTAGCCCAGCTTACATCAGTTAGCTTATTTATGCTTTGATAGGACAATCTTAATGTTTACGTGTATTCTTTTAGAAGTGAGATCTTATATGCAAATCATTAGCTAGCCATGGCATTATACATTTATTTTAACTATTAAATTTATTTGTATTAACTTTTTCTTAAAGATTTATATTATAAAAATTTTTTTTCTGCAGTTCACAGCATTAACAAAATGGATGCGGTTTTCACCCTTAAATATTGAGTGTAAGCTATAGAGCCATAATAACCAAAATAACTGATATCAGCTTTTTTGTTTTACCTTAAATGTTACAAATAATTCATAAAGATTAATTATAAACCTCATTATTCTAATCAGAAATGTGAACATTTAGACTTTGGAGGAAATAAAACCCACAAAACTAGTTTAACCCTTTGGTTTCCATTTCATTGCTTTGACTCTGTATTATAGTAAATATTGAAAATAGATCCTAGACAGCAAAACCATACAGGTTCATGCACAACATGTGTAGGTACCAGAGGCTGTCAATCATCTGTGAATATCTTAGCTTCTGTTTTGTTAAGTTTATTGGCAAGATTCGCCATTAGTTTGGGCTGTGATCCTTATATAGTGATTTAGTATTATAAACATGGCCTTTATTTACTGTTACATTGCAGGGACTCTCGCGACTTCATGTATAGTTGTGACTAAAGGTAATGTTGAAACAATTGATAGTATGTTTTATACAATAGTAGAACATTGAGATGATTCTCAGTGAATTGCTTTAAAGCAAAGTTGTGCATTTTTCTTAGCTGTAGTTAGATTAAAAACTCATCTTTAATTTTAATAACAGAAGCTTTCATTATAAAATACGGAGTCATATGATTAAATTGCTTGTCATTTATTGAAACAGTGGATAATTAGAAGGTGATATTTTAATGACTTAACTTTCTAAATAATACTCTAATTGGTCCTGAACATTTTATTACAAAGGTGTTATATTCATTTTATGGATAGCTTAATCTTTTTAGCCAATAAATATCACAATGTCCTTTTTTCAGTAGGTGTCTTTTTAAAAATGAGAATCTTTTATTTACAATTCTGTCCTTGGTTACAGGGCCCTCAAGTGTCTCTTTTCCACCAGGTGTGGCTGAGATGGGCTCAGGTGCCAGTCTGTTTTTCCTTCTCAGTATAAGAGCCACCCCTCAAGACCCTGCATTATGGTGACTTCCCTGGACTGAGCTTTCATATTTTTTTTTACAAGAAATATTTAGCCTGAGCTACCTAGCCAAAAACAATTCTCAAAGTTATAAGCCTTTGGCCTGGAGATAGAGCACAAGTAATCATTATTCATTGCTATTGTATATGTGGTTATTTCATTTTAACATCTAGATAAAATGTCACTTTTGTCAGTAAGTTAATTTGTAAGTTGCTTCTTGATTTCTGCACATTTTTATACTTTACCCCATTTAGTCCACCAACGTGTAACAGTTTGAATCTCCAAAATAATGGTACTAGGTCTATTTTATTCCCTGTAATGCTGCTTATATGGTAAAGTGTAGTCCTAGCAAATCATAACCATTTCTTTTTTTAAGACGTTCAAGGAGCATAGAATTATTTAAAGTTACTTTTTTTTTTTCATTCAGAATGGACCAGATTATTAACTCTTCATATTACATGCTATAATATTTAGGAGATAACATAAATTTTTCCTTGTCCTGTGAATAGATTAAAAGCTGCCTTATATCAGTATTATTAAATTAATTTGCTCTTAATTCCTGCTTTGCTTTTTATATATCTGCTACATAAAGTGCCCAAAGTCTTCAATTGTTGTGCTTTTTTGGACATCAGGTACATAATTATAAGGGCAAGTACACTAAGTGTCTGTGGCTAGAACGGTTTGTTATATAACTTACTTGTTAATGTAGGTTGCATCTGTAAGATAACGCATTTCAGCTGCTGTGCATCGTATTAAATTTTCTAGCACCACACGTGAGTATGTTAATGGACTTTCTTTTTCTTTTCTTATTTTAAATCTTGAGTTTTGGTGCCAAGTTTTCTGTGTGTGAGGCTGTTTCTGGCTTATATGTTGGTCATTATTATTTACCATTGTTTAAATCTAAAAATTAAAATGCACAGGATTAAATCTAACTTGTGACCAAACTCAATGTTTGTATACTTTAAAGGACCTAAATCTCTGTGTGTGGAGTTTTCAGCAAGTACATGAAGTTGTCACCATCCTTAATCTTGCTTATATAGTAGTTCCATTTTTCCACTACAGCCAGTATTTGAGTGCTGCTTGCTTGATATTCAGGTTTTGACTGGAAGAAGAGGATATATTACAAAAAGATTGTCATCTCATTTTTCTTTTGGACGATGGAACAAGTAACAGTATAACATTAAGTCTTAATGTGATTTTGGAAAAAGACTTGAAAACTTACTATCTGCTGATAATTAAAATCTTTTCACTACTAACATTGTAAATAGCAGAATTCGAGCCTTGGATTAGCTGTACTTTTAGTAATTTGGTACCAATTAATTTTGGCTAATTCGTCTTTATTTTCTTGAGATAAAGTGGAGGATGTTTCCATATCAACCAGCTAGTAAAATAGCTTTATACCACTGAGTAGAAATAAAGAGATTCAGAATGAAACCAGCATTCGTTGCATCTCAGGCAGATTTGTAGATGCATTTTAATACTACATTATACGGATGCCACTGTTTAATGGCAAAGTCTCAGAACTTTTCTATAGGAGAAGATTTCTTTGGAAGCCATTTATTCTGTGGTAACCAGAGCTTCAGCTGGGCTACCTGTATTTTAACTTAATTATTTTTATCTTAACTGGGATCATTAGATAGCTTGAGAAGCATCAATAGCCTTATATAAGCAAATTCAGTGACTAACTCTAGAAAAGTCTCCCCTGCCTAGTTTAGAAAGTGGCCACAGCTGGTTATAATAACAGCAGCCTAGAATGTGATGTTAGTGGACTGTTTTAATGCCACGAAAACTGCTTCACTTGTAGGCATTTTAATTAAAATGGAATTGTCTTAGTTTGGATCATAATTGACCATTTATGACCCACCTTTGTTTACCATAGAGCCCGGTCTAGAAATCAGATTTTCATTAGGGCAAATACAGGTGATGAGCATATTTAATACTAGTGTTAAATTCATTTGTGACTTTTGCCCTTGGCAAAATGTAACCTAGATTTACTTTTAGCCGTTCATTTTGAAACTTGTGGTTTATTTTCATTTGTTCATTTTTTTTGCCTGTCAGAATAATATTTTAGTTACAAAATCTACCAGAATTATGACTCTGAATTCATATTTTCTGATTTTAGGTCCTCTGAATTCTGGTCATCCTCACATCCTACTTTTTGCTTCTGTGTTTTTGTTTTTTTTTTTAAAGAGACAGTCTCACTCTGTCGTCCAGGCTAAAGTACAGTGGCATGATTATAGTTCACTGCAACTTCAAACTCCTGGGCTCCAGTGATCCTCCTGCCTCCGATTCTTAAGTAGCCAGGACTACAGGCACATACCACCATGCCCAACTAATTTTTAAAAATGTTTTGTAGAGATGGGGGTCTTGCTATGTTACCCAGGCTGGTCTCAAACTCCTGGGCTCAAGCAGTCCTTCCACCTTGGCCTCCCAGAGCACTGGGTTTACAGATGTGAGCCACTGTGCAGCAGCCTCCTTTTATCTAGTTGTCACCACAGCACACTTGTCTGGTCTTGGCTATTTTCTGGTTGTTAAAGTATTTCAGGATGGAGGAATCTCTTCCTGAGATAGCTGTTAAGTTCTGCCTGCTAGACAGGGACAGTAAGTGGGTTGATACCATTCCAGACTTAAGAAATTAAGTTTAGAATTTTGATTGTTTTTCACAGCAGCTTGATTAAAATACAGATAAAATTTCTTTACTGCTTTTGTAGATAGTGCTTTCAAATAAAACCAATGATTTCTAAATCCAAATGTCTTTTTCCCTTGCTAAATTGCAGGAGCATGCTAAATATTTCATCAAACTCCTGGAATGATGGTTTTACATTTTAATGTATGCAAACATAATTGTGGTTCAATTGCAGTGTAAAACTATCCTCAGTAACTTTGAACTTGAAAACTTGGCACCAAATTTATTTAGGTAGAAACTCTTTAAAATAGTTTCTTCCTGTTATTAACTGAAGGATATATTTAAGAAAGTCTTCATAATTAAATAAGATTTTGGATACCAAAGGGTTAAAAATACACGTGTTTCTTTTGCTGAAGATATCTTAGATGTTTGCTAATGTTTTGTCTGTACAAATGGACAATTTAGTAATGTTTTTTATCTTTTTTTAATGATTCCATGTATTTGCTTATTTCCATCTAGGAATAGTTACTAATGTATTTGAGATACAGCATACCAAATTTTAAAGTAACCAG